TTGGTGTAACACTGGGGCATTTGAATGATTCAATCAATACTGTATAAGATTTCATTTGAACAATGAGCATTATCAGGTGCTTTGACCTTAGTACACAAAGTACTATACTTCATGCCTACAACAATTTACCAACAATACTGGACTATGGAAAATTTGTCTGCATTCACCTTCATTGAATGCATATTCAATCAAGATTTAACTAGTTAAACAGCATACCTCATTCTGTTGACGTATAAAAGCAGTGTAGTGACCAACCTCTAAGGTCCCACTATGATTGACTACAGCAAATAATGTATACCTAACAAATAATGTACAAAACATTTTAGCCACATGACAGGGCTTGGCTGTGTAATATTAAGTCCACTGATGCATACCATGCAATGTAATAGTTGACATCCTATAGTTTTGAATTTCAAATCCCTCTGTGCACATAGTTATCACAAGGAAAACTACCTATACTTACTTGCTATCATAAGACAAGCATGAGGAGTTTTCTTGCCCGTTTAAATCTACACTTTGTCCTAACCTGAAAAACAAGCATAATATWKCARCTACAATTTTCCCAGCAGGGAGAGGGGTGTTTACCATATCGCTTACCTTTCTGAAGTAAAGGGTGTCATATCTAATTCTTGTGGAAAAGGAATGTATGTTGAAATCTTTTTAGACTTTTTTGAATGTTCAAACCTCTATAAAATAAAATAATAATAAAAAAACAGTGAGTTAAATTCAAAATGATATCGCTATGGAATAAAGTTAAGATTGGCAGTACCTTAAGGTGAAAAGACACTACAATAGGCAGCTTTTTCATAGACAGCTGCTTTGTTGATTCTTGATATGATTGGCATTTATTACACTTAATTTTTGCTTCACTTCCTAGCCTTTCTGGTCTAGTAAACCTACAGAAACGAAAAAAACAACTTTATGTACAAAACAACAAGAAATGCAGCCAGGTACCCTGAACTTTTGCCAGGAGATAACCAATAATGAATCACAATAGCAAACTAAATTCACAAAATTACATCTTAGGTTTACCTTCGCAAACACTCTATTAATGACTTGGGTACAAAGCTTTCATCTAAATGTGTACATTCTGGTGTTTGTCCATTACTATCTTCACCTAGACATAAAGATTGAAACATTTTACCAATCAGTGGGTTCACATTAGATAACTTTCAGTTAAAATAGTCAACAAGCTACGGTTAGTTATTCTGCCTTTTTAAACTTTTTACAAACCTGGTAGAGAAGGATCTGGRGTTGATGCAGCTGAGGCTCCAGAACTACTTCTTCCATTCTCTTTTTCCCCATGACCAAGGTCAAGTGAGATGTCCCAGAAGGGATCAACAGTTGTGGAGACACAGCTAAAAGCAATAAACACAACAACATAAAACCTTAATGAGCAGACAAAAATACATCAATCAAATATACTTTGAAATTGAAAATAAGACACGTGGTGACATGATTGTTCATAAAATTAGTTACTTGATGTCTTGTGAGTTCATTTTGTATGATTATAGATTAGTATGTCATTCCAATAGGCTTTCATAGTGACCTAATGAAGAGCTGATTTTGTATATGACTGTAAAAAYAACTGGARGACTTTTGCACAGGTCTTGTCCATATTGTGTATTGATGGCAGTGTGTTCTTGAATCAGCATTTCTATATGGAATCTCTACACAGGAGGTTTAGTGTTTATGAACATTCATACCAAATTGTCTCTAGGTATATCTAACGTTACCAGGGAGGTAACAGTGTTAAGTTGAAAAAGGGATTACTAAGTGCACACTTACTTGCATACTTGGCACGTTACATCAGACTGCAGTCCTCCAGTGAATATTCTATCTATTATACAGTTGCATTGATTATGATTATTAGGTTTTAGGGTATCTTTGTCAGGAGCATCATCTGAAAAAATATTTCATCAACCTAAACCAACATGTTTATCACATATAAATTTTCATTAAATGTTAATGCCATCAAATGAGACCAAGAGAGCTCAAACGGTCTCAATGTGTTATCAACATGAGAAATATTTCAATATTATACCTTTACAATAATTATGCAAGACATCTAATGCTGCAATAAAGAATTCATGTGCATCTTGTTGTTCATAGCCGGCAAGATGGCGTGCATGTGTCCATACTAGATGAAGTAGTTTATATGGAGAATGTGGCATTTTTTGACCTGAATAAAACTAAAGGAGCAAACAAATAATATATATGTGACAGTTTCAAGCAGCTTTCTCCAATTAGAGCCAAAGTCTTTTGTTTTGTCCCCCAGCATGAAGCCTGCTTTGAGGTCACATGCTAGAGTCATGGTCTAAAGAGGTCTACAAGTTAGTTACCAGCACTCTTGCTTTACAAAATAGATAACCCAGTAAAAATTGTCATTCTAAAATTACAGATTAAATGAAAAATAAATAAATACAAAAACAAATAAACAAACATATTCAGTCTACCTCTTGAAACAAAGATGCCATTTCACAAACAAGACAACTGCTACTTTCATTCTTACAGACATGCTGATCTGACAAGAAATAGTCCCTTAGAAGTGGTGTATGTGTCAAAGCCTGCACAATGCAATTCATAAAGCAAGTATTTCCAAGATTTATAAGACCCCTAAGACCTGAAAACAAAACAAAATACAATTATGCACAGAATTGCAAACATTGTTCATCATTTGTTATTGTTTATGTTACCTATAGTAGAGCTCCTTGTAACTTTTATTCTTTTTGGATTATCTTTGAGTAGTTTGGCTTCACCTTTAGTCGGATACCATGWGATATACTTTGYACGTCCATTAGCTAACAAWWTTTTKAAATAAAARATAAATAAACACAACAACACAATAAAATGTCTTTGTAAGAAATAACAAGAAAATTATGCAGAAATGGTAAACAATACTAGAACTTCTCCCTGTAAAAACCCTGAGAAAATATAATTTTACTTTGGATATTCAAACCATTATTCTATTAACACACCCTAAGTAAAAAACATTATAACATCATAATTACTGTAAACATTTAAATGGCTAAAATGAAATCTTGTTTTTTCTCACAATACTTAATAAAAGAAGTCAAAATCCAGCAACAGAGAAGTTCAACAAGGGATACTAAATCTATTAAAACGGCTATTTAGTGTTTAATATGATCTATTATAAAGCTAAAATACAAAATGTCAGAAATAAAGGACTGTTGATGCTTACTAAGTCGTCTCCAAGCCCTACGACTTTCTTCTTTGCCAATTTTTTCCAGGTCTTTGTCATATTTATAGTCACCACATGCAAAACAATAAACACTGCCATGGCTCAGGTCGATCGCTGTTCACAGACAGTAAAAGAATTAAAAAAAACATATTAAACAATCGAATGAAGAATTCCGATGGAAATAATATGTTATATTCACCTAAAGAATGTCCTGAAGTACGAGCATGTTGTTGAATGTGCCGGCTACCGGTGTAACAACCGAAATACACACAAAATAAACAGGAATGCAATCGGCAGGAGTTTGTCCCACAGCTATGACAGTTACAAGACGTTGCCTAAATAAAGAGCAAAACTCATTGCGAAACTAGAATTTTAAATCGTGGAAAGAAAAGCAAGGGGGGATAAATCTTATAACTGACCTTTCTCTTCCTGTCTTCGCGAGACAGACAAGCTACAAAGTGAGTGTGGATTTTTTGATAGATTTTGATACCATTTCCTTGTTTGAAACGACTCACATGGACGCAGCTAACCATGATAAACAACTAGTAAAGGTTAGCATTAATATCCTAGGGTACGAAAWTGAGGATTTTGAGCTCTAAATACCATAGCCATGACACAACYGATCAAAGAAACATGTGTAGTTTGCGCGTACCTTATGTTTTGATATGCGCAAACCTCCAATCTCTTCCTATTGGCTGAACAAGCAACAATGCATACCCTTATATGGAAGTACATTACACACCCGCTAATTTCAAATGGGAAAACTTGGATATTTTTCA